CGGTGTAGACCTTTGGATAACAGTACACCTAGGTGCAGATCAGAAGGAACGAACTTCCCCGTTGCGAGCATCAAGACTTTGGCCAACTTGTGCAATCGGTCCTGCGGGTAGATAGTCGCTTGATAAGATAGCGCTTCCGTACCGTTCTTTACATATCAGTCCAACCATGGAATACTTTGCAGTAACCCGACTAGTACGCAGACCCCACTGAAATTGGGCAGGAATATGCGACAATCGCTTTTGATTGCAGACGGCCACGTTCCCAGATCCTCTTGACCTGCCTTGTACGCGTATATTGACTTGTACATGATGGTTGAGGTATACATCATCTCGCCATAATGCCGCACACTAACGCAAGACCTGGCCAAGATCTTCACGGTCCTACTTGAAGAATGATAGATGGCACAGAAGTGCCACAACATGAGCCGCTTGACGTCTCTAGCGACAACAAGAGGATGGAACGCAGCACAACAGCTGGGGAAAAATGAACACCCTGGAGCCTACATCGACGTTGGGTCACCCACTTTGCATGTTTTGAGCTTGATGTATTCTGCAAAACTGTTCAGTATTGATGTTGTCTGGGGTGAGGCTAGACAATTTTTCTGGATCTCGCAGTGTGCATCAAGAGCTTACCGGTATGAGATCCCCTGTATCGCAGCTGGCGTCATCAAGCTTGAGCATACCGATGACCTCAGATAAGGCCAGTTAGACACAAGGTTGTCACCACTTCCACATGTCGTGAAACGAACACTGGAGCTGTTCAACGGCAGGAGCTGAGTAACTCAAGCCATTACAGGACGCCGTAACGTACCACATTTTCCCCTGATACGTAGCACGCGCAAACACAATCAGACTCATGGATGGCTGACTATACAGGTGGTGTATACGCCATCTATCCAACACAGTGATGAGGCCAAGCCTACATCCAATCATGCGCATATGCGCTCAGACGAAGAGAAACCGCCGTATATGCACTGTATTCGCAATCGTTCGCTTGTCCAAGCCCACGAATAGGTCAGCGTTGCCCACCACCAACTCTGGAACCACACAAGCCCGGGCCCCTCAGTTGCAACCACCTCAAACAAGGGAAAGTTCGATCAGGCCTGCAGCCTACAATACGATATGAATGTGCAAAGTAGGCGACCTGACGGCAACGTAGGCTCCAGGGTGGACGCCGTTTCTACATTGAGCCTCCAGGTGGTGTGATGTTGGCTCAACGGCACAACACGAACTCAACGGTCCCAGCAACAAGCAGATAAGTGGCTCTGGTATAAAGTAGCCGCATGGCAAGTACTCAGTACATGGGATTCTTACCCCTCTCTTCCCACACGCGAGGAATTACACCCTGTCGCTTGTGCTGACAATCTGCAGCATTCCCATGGGCACGATACCGTTATCGCGGACGCGCCGCCAGCCACTCAGGTGATTCTGCAACCCTAAGCAGACGCCTCTTACGTTTCCGCGCAAAGTTCTCGACGCTCGACACTGAAACGTATCTAGCGCGCGTACTGGTGCAGTGCGCGTCCAGGTTGTAAGCGGAGCTTCCGTCTTCCAAGGAAAGGACCTTTCGACAAGCTGGAACACATGAATAGGTTTTTCCCCACTTCCCACTTTCTCCTGCGTCGTGCACTACGGCAATACATTGTTAGCAGCAACCACTGTATACGAACTGGAGGCTATTGACAGTTCTAGCCGTGCAAAGTTGCAACTAGAGCAGTCTGACTTCCGGCGTATGCTCCAGAGTACGTCTTGCTATTACGCTCGAAAACATTGGAACCGTCGTATGCTTCACGGGATGTCAGGTTCCCAAGGCTGCTTCCATACAACAACTTCCACGCAAGAGCCGCAAATGGTATTGCTCCCGCTATGCTTATTACCCGCTATCCGAAATCTCTTCACCGTGTTTCGTTCCGACGCGCCTGTTCGATCGTCACTGCCACCCATTTCAGCCTGCTAACCTTCGCTTGCTCATGCCACATCCTCTCTAAGCCATCGGCTGCACGCCTGGAATCTCGACCCATCTGTGGGCGGCGAGGCGGCTAAAATGCGCGATTCTAGCGCCAACGTAAGCGTTAAGCTTTGGCTGCCAAGCATCCGTTCGCCTGCTGCGGGCAGGTCTCCGGGACTACTGAATGGGGAGCTACCCGGCACGGCAAGCGGATCGCATAGGCATCGCATCGTTAGCCATGCGGTATCAAAATAGTCTTTTTGACGGATACAGACACGGAGATTATGGACGTTAGATGCTTTTTCGAAATAGGCTACGTCTACACCGTCTCCGCAACCTTGCACTACCAGCCTTGTACCAAGCGCACGTCAAAACCTTGCGAAATTGTCGGGTCCGCGGTTCGCGATGTCGGCGCGGAGGCGACCGACAAGCCGGAGCACAAGTGGAAAAGATCTCATGGACTAGACCGAAGTCGTGCCGTAGACGAAGGTCGTTTTCCCTAAGCGTAGCAGAGGCTGACGACGATGGAGCATGGGCTGGATGTAACAGCGGGAATAGTAGGGCGGAGATGCGCCGTTCTCCTTCGAGATGGGGACCCACGCGATGGATGTACAGGTACATGTACACATGACGATTAGTGTCCGCGGAGGCTGAACATGACTCCATGCAGGGCCGATTAACGATGGATATGACAGCCCTTTACAAGGCGTTGCAGCCCGATTTGTAAAGTATATTCGCAAGGGATTGCCCTCGTTGCGGTGGTACTCGTCGCTTACAGCCAACTGCTTTCTGCTACCCGCGACAAGCCCGGCACTTGGTTGTTATTCCACCCCACGGACGAAACACGATCAATTTGATGTGTCGTCCAGAACGCCTATTATGGCGCCCGGAGGTTCTCAGGCTCTTTTGTGGATCGGAATCGTACGCGAATAGTTTCATGTAGACTTCAGTCTCGACCTCGACTCTGACTGACACCGGGTATTGTACCAGTCGTACACCGGTGTTACCGGTGTACATTCGCGGTATATCACACTCGCATTCGCGTTCGGACCGATACACTGATTTTTCAAATCCCATGCGGCTTTCATGATTGTGTTTTGGTCACAACATCGACACATGTATTGAGATTGATGGATTTCGACGCGGCTCATGGGGTTGATAGCCTAAGGACTGGACTACACCAACATGAAAATTATCCAGATGATTCTAGTCGATCTGATCAGAAGAGAGAAATAGGAACCATTCTAGATGGACGATGCTTTCAGATTCGCATAGATCGTGAAGGCCTGTGGGAATTGATCCCAATTTACATCGCTTCCAAATCCAAGTCTTGTGGACTTCGAAGACGTGTAGTGTATGTATATTTCTGGATACGCGTGACGGATACATGGGTCGTCAGCGGCGATATTTGGGATATTTGGGAGAGCCAAGACAGAGACATAGATCCTCTGGCGCAGGTTTTTGAAGTTTTTGAGAACGTGTAGTCGGTAAGGTAGTATGACATGTGGACGTACATATGTAGAGCGGTGCAGGTGGGCGGCACCTTGCTGTATTAGGATGAACCGAGGTGGGGCGATGAGCTCACATCAAGCACGAGGAAACACCAAACGACGCGTCCCGACGCGACAACCCGCGCAATCGTTTGTTTGCGACTTTTCCATTCCACAGCGTCCGACGCCGTCACGAGATTCAAGATGTTTTCGTTGCCTATGATCGCGCCGCGCCCAGTAAGTACTCTGACGGGCATCTTAAAATACTCCAAATACAGGCCATACCAGAACAACAATTGACAATATCTCTAGGACGCCAGCCTCTGGCCCTCCCACCACACCACCCACGCCGCTTTCGAAGATACCCACCCGAATTCCCCGCCAGACACAGCCCACGGCCAAAACCAGCGACGCCCTACCTCACATCATGGCCCTCGTCGCGTTCAAAACCAGTTCCTCGCCAGTTTAGCCGCCGACGAAAACACAATCGCCCAGCGTAAACTCAATGTTCGCAGATTCGGTGCGGGCTGGATTCGTCCACCCGGTGTCACCAAAACACTTCAAGCCAGGGAGGACGAAAAGTTCGAGAAGGAGGAACAAGAGATGATGCAGCGCAGAGAGCAAGCCATGATGGATTTGGCAGCCGCACAACAAGACGCCGCAAATGAGGAGCAAAGGGAGAGAGGAGAGATGGCGGAAGAGGCTGGAGAAGGCGAAGAAGAAAGAGACCTTGACGACGAAGTGCCCGAGGCCGAAAGTACACCCAGCGCATCCGCCTCCGAGGTCTCCAGTGACGAAGAATCAGAGGAGGAAGCTAGCGAAGTCAGCGGCGATGTCCAGGAAGAAAGCACAGTACCGTTCAACGAGGACAGCTTCATTGAGGGCAGCATGTTGGAAGCAGAAGTATCGCACATGTTGGAGATGGAAGAGGCGGAGATGGCAGGCGTCCTGCAAGATGAGCGCGATCTCGATGACGATGTACCAGAAGCCGGGAGTTACGAACACACGGATTCCGAACTCGAAGATGATAGCGACGTGGATAATAGCGCCCTTCCACCTGGTCTGGCTTCCGCGCGTTCGACACGTTCACATAGACGCCGTTCCAGTGGACGCCGTGTTTCAAGCCGCAGAAGTTCGGGATTGCCTGGGGGCATGATGTTTGGAGGCGGACATCCCGCTGTTGGAAGGGTTAGTCTGGGTGTTGATCTGGGGAATGGGCGTAGTAGCTTCGGCATGGATGGCAGTAGCTCGCTTCTTGAGGGTAGCTCCTTTTTGAGGAGCTCACCTGCAGGGAATGCGGCGGCTAACAGGGGTAGTCTGAGAGATAGGTTCTTGGGGGCCGCGAGGGGTGGCGGTGGAGGAGGCGGAAGGAGGGCTTGATGTTGAAGTGTGGTAATGATTATGAATGTACGATAGAGATACCCAGTAACTCGATAGAGCCTGATTGTATTCAGATGAGCAACAAGCCCGTTTCATGCTACCGACATACAAGCCAGGAGGTATCATCCCGTTCTAACATCGCCTCTACCCATGCCAAACACGACCCGGACGACAACATGCCCCTACACCTCAGCTAACATCTCTTCAAACGCCTTCTCGAGGAAGCTACCTGCCTCCCCAAATATTCTCGCGCGCTCTGCCCTCTCCTCGTCGGAGTCCAAGCCCAAAACGTGACTTACACACCGCATAGAATCTTCCAGGGCGTCCCTGCCTTTCAGCAGCAGGTAGTACTCCAGACGAGTCTCTATGGAGCACTCTCCATCCACACACTCACCAACGTAGTCTCCATCGACTGCGCCGCTCAGCTGATAGATACGCTGCTGCCATTCGTCGTCGGCAACCGTCATCATCTCTTCCATTCCGCGTAGCATCGACGCCAATGTAAGTCCCGAGCTACTGTGGATGGCCCACAGTGCGTTCAGCTTGCCGATGGTGGCGTCGATAAACTTGTGGTCTGACATGAGGTCATGAGCGATCGAGCGAAGGGCTTGTTTTGGGCCCAAACAAATTGGGTCTGATTTGGCGACCAATATGTGTTCCTTGTTGTAGAGTTGAAGGTGAAATGGGTTTCTGAAGTCTTCTAGCACCGAGAGTGGTGGAGAAAAGGTGAAGGTGTCTGCTTCTAGCTCTTCCGGCGTCAGGATGCTGATGAGGTACATGAGGCTACCACTATTCCACTCGATTGGCTCATCCGTGTCATCGGAAATCGGCGAGGAGGGCGCTGTGGACGAACCATCCATGCTGGACAGACTTACGCGAGAGCCGCGGGAGGAGGGAGGGGTCCATTTGAGGTTAGGAACCCATTGAACACCAGGCTTGCCCAGAATAGTGTGCTGGATGTTGTGAGATACATTGTCGCTGTCATAGCCAGGCTTGCTGCTGGTGTTGACCTTGAGGAATACATCGGTGTCGACGGTCTTCATAGGCTGCGTAGGAGACTCGGCGTATCTGTCACTGAAGGGGTTGGCGGAAGGTGCTGCTGACGTGGCCATCATGTCGGATTCAACGTGATTGCTGATCTGAGCGCTGTCAGGGGGATCGATGCAAAAGAGCAGATGGTGACGCTGAGTATGGGAGACGGAGCTGTCAGGGGTAGAAACTGCGAAGACGACGGGTATTAATAGGGTTCGCTGGCTTATTGAACAATAGCTGGTGACAGCTGCTATTCAAGCCCCGCGGTAATCATGAATGCGCAATGTTGCTGCGGTGAACCGCCTGATTCACGTAGCATTGTCTGAAGATAGGAAACGCGACAATGAGAAGATACAGTAGAAAATGAATGCGAAGGGATATTGACGGAGGTGTCGGAGTGCAGCAGATCACCCGTTGTACGTGACCTATAGTTGCAGCAAACCGAACGCTTCGTCACTTTACAAACAGTCGTGCTATGATTGGTCACAGTGATGCATTCAAGTGATGTCGTTCATTTCTCACTGTGCCCATCCCAGCGGTAGATATATACAAAGCTCAGTGGGTCGCAAAGATGTTGCGTGTGCGCAGGTGGACTGGGGTCTCGCCCTTTGGCGCATCTGGTATCGTCTTCTCCAATTTCTGAAGTGGTGTTAGCGAAAGACGTAAGGCACAACGATAACCGCGACATACCAACTTCTCGAATACACACTTGTTGAGCTTGCGCTCTTCTGACCGGCAGTTCCAGAGCTGCTGGTTGTGGTTCTCTAGGCATTGCCAGTGGGTGCGGAACTGTTCCAGGCAGTTCTCGTTGATGTCCTTGATACTGCCACAGCTGTCAGTACCCAGGGTTCCTTATTCGACCTTCCGCCAGTACGTACACGCTAGCCGCACACCTGGTGACCTTGCGGCCTTCCTTCATGCAGTCAAACTCTCCCCGGCCGTTGGCCTCGGTCTTGCACATCATGTAGTCATCGTTGTAGGCCTTGCATCGCGCGCCAATGAAGAACGAGGCACTGAGGAGGGGCGCAGAACTGGCTCCGAGCTCCTTGACCTTGGGGATGTCGTCGGGTAGAGGGGTGGTGTCGATGAGGGCTTGCTGGTTGAACCTGCAATTTAGTCAGCATATGTGAGCGCCATGAGGTTGGCAGAGAGCGCTTACCTGGGCTGGCGCGACGACATCTTGAGGGTGAGGTGCCAATGGCGGGCTATCGGCTCACGAATTGGAGATGATGCTCGTGAGGTCGTCGCGGAAGTCGGTCTTGGCGCTCACTAAAACTGGCAGGGATGCGATGGGCCGCGCTTGTGCCTGACCTTTGTGAGCGAGAGACAACAATCTCTCACTGCTCCATCTGCACCCCAACTGCGCCTTTACACGCCTCTTCTGCTTCTCATCAAACAGGATGCGCGCCGATTGATTGTTTTTGTAAATTATACCAGCGCCTACTTTCAGCGATCGCCTCCTTCGCGTGCCTGCGCGCGACCGAAAACAAACATTGGAAGCTCCTCCATCCGCGACCTGAATAACGTCACTCGTTCGAATCACTATCGAATCTGCCCAGAAGGACACGCGCATACTACGAATTCTATTCAACATGTCTTTCAGCTTTGGAAACCCGGCAGGTGGAGAAAAGAAGACGGGCACTCTGTTTGGAAGCACCACAGCACCAGCTGGCGGTCTTTTCGGTCAATCGCAGCAGCAACAGCCGCAGCAGTCGAACGCGACACAGTCCAGCCTCTTCGGCTCATCGACCGCCCCTCAACAGAACAACACCAATAGCCTGTTTGGCTCGACACAGCCGCAACAACAACAGCAGAACTCAGGATCGAGCTTGTTCGGCCAGCCCCAACAACAGCAGCAGAATGCAGGCTCAAGCCTCTTCGGACAACCTCAACAGCAACAACAGAATGCCGGCTCAAGTCTGTTTGGCCAGCCTCAGCAGCAACAGCAACAGCAGCAGCAGGGGCAGCAACAACAGCCAAATATGAGCAACAGCCTCTTTGGCGCCTCGTTGCAGCCTGCGCCCGTCCTGAACAACATTCAGGCGCAAAGCATCCAACAACAGCGCGAAGGGCTTCCGCAGTTGCGCCAGTCCTCCGCGCAACCTTTCGCTGCTAATACCATGAACGGTCACAGTACGGCACCTCGAAATCACCGCTGAAGTCGCGCTAACACTTGCCAGGAGAGAAGTCGGTCATTGAGCAGATACGGATCCTGAATAACAAGTGGGACCCCAGCAGCCCCGAATGCGTCTTCCAATACTACTTCTACAACTCGGTCAAGCCTGAAGAAGCGCCCTTCTACGGTCCCTCGCAGGGTGAAGACGAACGGAAATGGGAGGAGGCTTTGTCCAAGAAGCCAAGTCCAGGTGCTATTCCTGTGCTTGCGCGTGGCTTCGAGCAGGTTGGAGAACGCATCAAACAACAAGCAGCCGCCGTCACCGCGCTACGAACCCGCCTGCACGAGATCAACAATGCACTATCGCTTCTCAAAGACGCCCATGAGCTGACGGTAGCATCGCGCATCACCGAAGCTAAGCGCAAGCACGTTGTCTTCACCCAGCGAACGTTGGCCCTTGCAACCAAGGTCCAGATCTTGCGAAACCGGGGATACGTTATGGATCAGCCAGAGGAGGAATTGAAGAAGAAGCTCATCGAGTTGGAGAAGCAGACCTTTGATCCTGTGCTTGGCGGGCGACAAGAAGAGATCTGGGCGCGCATGTCCGGTGTGCGTGAGCGGGCGCGCATCCTACAAGAGGAGACTGAGAAGCTGGGCAAGACGATTGACCAGCAGCAAAATGGTGAACTTCTTACAGATGAAGATCAGAAGGCGTTGGAGAAGGTAAGAAGCCCATTCCATGACCCCTCACATATGCTAACAACGTCTCTTAGCTCCTCAAAGACTATGACCGACAACTCGAGCACCTCAAGAAGTGGGTCGACGACACCAGAGACGAATACGACGAGTGGGAGACTGCAAAGCAGTCAAGGCCGGCAAAGCGATAAGGGCATAATACGAGGGCGCATTTGTCATGTACGATTCATAGGTCATGTAGAGGTTATATTGCGAAAAGTTGGGCGTTGCGAGATACCATGCAGCAGCGGACGGATGCATAGAAGGCGTACAATCAAGCGTTGCATAATATTCATCGTCTCATCATTGCGCAAATGTCAGATGGCGTTTGGTGACTTCTCTTTGCTTCCAGACGTATGCGTCGATCCCCGTATACTGTAAGGGTATTTGTATCCGTTTAACCAGTAATGTTACAAGCGCATGTATCCCCTAGGCCATGCGCATATGTTGTACAGTAGTTCATCGCTTCATTGTTCCGTCCCATTTATGCGTACACTTGTTCATTTCTAGCGCTTCGAATTCTGTGGACGGGTTGTAATCGCGGGAGTAGTCGCTGCTTAGAAGAGCTTCGAGACGTATTCAACGAGATGTGGTGCTGTAAAGTGTTAGTCTCTGTCCTGTCGTGATGTAGTTCCAATCATTCTTACAGAAGTACAGCACGACAGCGCTGGCTGCCGTCCACTTGATGTCGGTCATAGTCTGTGCCTCGGCCGCGGCAAGCTCCTGCTTGGATGGCTGTGGTGGTGCTGTCATGCACGTTAGCCTCGTTGTCTTGGATGCGGCAATCCCTGGTAAAACTCACCTCCGAACATTCTGGCGGTGTGTTGTGTGAGGTATGAGGTGAGGCGATAGAAAGAGCTGTAGAGCGACAGGCGGTATGCAAGTTGGGTATCTCGAAGATGACGTTTACGGTGCACTTGGATACGCAAAAGTTTGGATTGTCGGCGTTTGGGCTGCGATGTTGCCGATGGGGTTGGTCACGTGGTTGCGCGCACCCTCCTCGCAAGGCTGATCGTTCGTTTTGCTCGCCCTTTCTCTTCAGTATGAACAGCAGAGATTACTTTGAACACTCTTTCCTGACCGTCTGGTTCAGCATGGCAGAACTCTCTTTCATGCACGGCGACCGACAGCAGTTCATCAAGTCTTCCGTCCCTCAATCTATGCATGACAAGAAAACTGCTTGCTCGAAGACTCAAGGTCTTTCACTCGGACCTGATTATTAGTCCTCGGGGATTTCAATTCCTCCTCACCCCGACTGGCAGGTCGAGCATATTTGATTTCTCGTACGAACAAGCTGTCCTGTACAGCACAACGGACCGATGTACACTTGAACGGACATGCTGTTCACTCATCAACCCGCATACCCTTGACATATTTTCTTTGGAGCTGACACGATTTCTATCAATCCCCAACTTGAACCCCCCAATCTGGCAACCTCCAATACTTCGATGACCAGCCCAAACCGAGACCAGGCCCCAGGCTGAATCAAAGGCGCATCTACTTCTTCAACCCCCAATTCTGTCATTTCCACATGCTGTCATTTATGGTAACATGCTCCTTCCTATGGGATCTCGTTGCACATATCAATGTGCATTCGCCCCCATCTTATACAAGTGAAAACTAAACACCCTAGAGCCTACGTTGACTTCAGATCACCTACATTGCATGTTTTCATTTTGATGTAGGCTCCAGGGTGTTCGGTTTTCCCTCGTATAAGGTGCCCCTGTCTTGAACCTACACAGGGCACGGAACCAGGTCAGTGAAGCTCGTGGCGCGGTGATGTCGAATTACCGGGAATAAACCCGCAAGCACGTCCACCTGCCGAAATCTGGGGGCGAGGTATGTAGAATGAACAGGCAGGTGCGAGTATATTCAGCGGCCTACAACAGCATATAACTCGCAGATTACAAAACTTCTAAGAACAATGTAGGCTTCTAACGTACCTATGTACTTTTTCTTCTGATATGTAGCTATGCGGTTAGCGTTGCCTCAGATGAAGTGGTGGTTTTCCAACCTTATCATTCCAAGGTTGCGAGGCTAACGCAGGAGGCCGAGACTCAACAATGCACCCGCGTGCCCGCAGTCCGTGGAGGCATCATGCGCCCAACGTGCAGGTCGTACAATCTGTGTCGCCCCCATCCAGGACTCCGGAATTGGTATATGGTTTGATTGCGAAAGCTAAGATTGGGCTAGCTGGCGCTGCAATGATCCGTTGCGAACCGGTGAACTAAATGTTTCAGATCTTCTAAACACGCCGTCAACAAGAACGCCACAGAGTCCGATCCGAGCCCGAACAGCAATGCACCGCGCAGCCTGCGTGCCCAATCAGCGAAGCAAATACGCATGGCTGATCGCCGGATGTAGTCGCGGTCGATCGGCCCTACAACGACCCCAAATGATGACAGGGGCGACAAAAGACCAGCCCCTACTCGTGCTGTATTAATATGTGATCTTGCGGAAGTCTGACGACCTTCAACGTCTGTTGTTCACTTTTCCGTCGCTCTTTACGTTCTTTATCGAAGATGTTGCTTTCCGCATCTTCCGTTGTGTTGGCATTGTACTCTTCTTGCGCAATCGCGCTGTCCGCTCCTTCCAACAACGGCTATGTCCATGGATCCTCCAACCTACACTTCGCGCCCCGCCACGCCCATCCCCACGCAAGACCTCGCCAATCTGTAGATCAGGATGCGTCATGTGCTCCATACTGGATGGAAAATATCAAACACCAGGGCATTGCTAGCTACAATCCGAACCCTGGCAACTACACCGTCTTCCGGAATGTCAAGTCTTTTGGCGCAGTCGGCGATGGAGTCCATGATGATACTGCCGCCATCCAGAGAGCGATCTCGTATGGTGGCAGATGTGCGCCTGGGACTTGCGGGAGTTCTACTAACCAGCCTGCTGTGGTGTACTTTCCAGGTGGTATATACAAGATCTCGAGTGCTATCATCGACTATTACTATACTCAGGTATGTACTCTGTCCAGTGCAAGAAAGATGGGATCACCAAGTCAGCCAAGCAAAAAAAGGAAGCGTACCCTAAAAGTTACACTGACTTCTGACTCCTCTACATACGGATGAAGACGTGGTGCAAACTTGTAGGGGACAGGTAACATGTTGGATTTTACTTGGGAACGGGCACTTTTGCGATAGGTGTGGAACGTTGTGACTGACTCATTAAGATCATCGGAAACCCAAACTGTCTTCCTACCATTCAGGCTGCCTCCAACTTCTCCGGCTCAAGTTTCGGCTTGATCGACGGCTCTCTGTACGGCGACAATGGACTTGGTTTCAATCCTACAGTCACCTTCTTCCGCCAGATTCGTAAC